TATCTTACTGGGTTTGTTTACGGGGTCAACTTATGAGGAGGTGGTCATTGTTTTGACCTGTGCTACCAAACCAGTTTCTTGCAGACATGAAAATGGTACTGTGCGAGTCTGGTCTGCAGGTCATGCTGTTATGAGTTTACTGTTTGTTATCGACACCCGAAATGAATTTGCCGGCTTCTTGGACGAGGTAAATGTGCCGGTCTTCTTTGATCTTTGTCGAGGCGAATTTCTACAACTTTTTGTCCCTATCTTTGATAGACAGACCACAAATCTTTTGACATCGTGTTTTCACTATCCTTATTTCACAACAGTGTGTACCATGATTACTCTCAAGGTGAGGACACCAGTGGCTTCCATGTAAGTCCAAGTGGATGGGTATCCTCATACCAACAGCGATTGCATGGTCGGCTCTACCTGCCAGTTGTACCACTTTCATTTCTGAAAAGCTGTCAGACACAGTTTTGGGCTCATCTGGGTCGTCTGAGAATGCTAGGAAAGAATTTGGACATTTTTGGAGCCGCTGCCTCTAACCAACAGGAGTGTCGAGATAGCTATATTTGATGTACATATGACCCTACTGGGTCCGCTCTTTTTAGTAATCATGGTGCGCCATGTATGGTAGGAACAAGGCTGTGATTTTCTAGGAGAGGAACACACCCGAAGAAGAACAAGCATGTGACACAGATACATCCGATGATGAGTTCCAGATCACTGGTGACTGGCCTCCGTTCAAAAAGGTACTGTCGTTTCTTTTGCGCTATATACGTAAGTACTGATTTCTCAGGTCGGTGATTACGATCCTTTTTGCGACGACGCCGGATTGTCCATACAGAGGCTGGCATTTGATGAGAAATCTGGTCACATTGTTGTTGGAGGTCGTGCTGGGCATGTGCTACTTTATACTTTAGAAGAAACTACACGAGTATGTTTATGCTCTTGATTTTTTTCACTCACGAATTCTAAACTCACAGGAAATGACGCCGCAAGTATTGAAAATTGAATTGTGTGAGGCATCGAAATTGTCCGTACCTGCAAGAAATAGTAAACCGTTGCCGGTTCGTACGAAACCTCTCAAATATGCTGCGGGATATCAACCTTGCCCGTTATCGGTTCAGAATAAGTGGCACGTTGTTTATCTAACTTTTATGTCTGTCTCTTTTGGTTAGTGATCGTTTTAGTATGCTTGTACAACTTCAACCTCCTCAGCCGGTATCTGCTGTCGCCGTTCTTTCCGCTCGCAACTTGGTAGCTGCATCGAACGAATATGGATTTGCTATGATTGACATACAGAGACAGTCGGTACTCCTTCAAAACACTTTAGTCAATCAGGCAGGTTAGTACTGGCCAAGAATCTGATCAAAATGAAAGCTTTCAAGAATAACAAAATTGGCTATGAACTGTCAAAGTTTTAAATATTAATAACAAACGGCATCTTATGCATATCCTGGAAGCTTCAGTGGCTGTACACTTCTTCCCATGTACTGAACTTGGCAGGCAGTTCAATCCAGATTTCAGATATGCAACATGTTGGAGCATTCGATGATGCATTGTCGCGCTTCAAAAGCATGAAAAAGTCGATTCGACAGACTTTTAGAAGGAAGAAGAAAACGCCTGTGACATCGTTGGATAACACCTTGGTTAGTGAAAGCGATGTTCCGTTATTGAGATTTTCTGCTGATTTTATTTGATAATTTTCGTACTTGTAGGCAACGCACAGTGATTCTCCGAGCAAGGACAACAGTAAATTCAATGTGTCCAGAGTTTTCAGTGATAATGAGGATGATGAGGTTGAAGTGACAAAACCGGTTGAACGTCTGATTGAAGAACGCGGCATGTCTCCTTGTAAGTTGGCATATTTTGCTCAGAAATAACAATGTTATAATCCTACGTTTCGCAGTGCTCATCATTTTGTTATTTCAGTGGAGTCTCCGACATGGTTCATCCGCTGCCTGAGGTTTCTGAGTGTGCCAGTGATGGGAATAGCTGGGGTAAGTAGGATTCAGTGTACATCGCCATGTGAAGTAATCTTTTCTAATCGTGATCCTGCAAGATCATAGCTCTTGTCCAGCTTTATCTCACTATGTAATAGCTTTTTGTGTAGATATTTGTCGAATTCTGAGCTTAAATATCCAATGAATTTGTAAACTAGGGTTTTCAAACCCACCGCAATTATCCTTTGCGAGTGTTTTTTTTT